AAAAAAGTAGCTGGCAAACTGATCAAGGTCCTCGCTGTCGCATGACGTCGGTTATGTCGTAAGCAGTAAAGCACAGACTGAGAATTCAGTCGTTATGCGCAGTAGTAGAATAGGCAAAATAACGGCAGACGTTCTTCGTAACAAATCTGTATTTAGGTTTGATGGTGGATCAGTTGAACGTAACAGTGCCTTCACAATTCCCCTGAAGCTTTTACCTCATCACAAACGTTGTACATGCCTGGCAAGTGTTACGGCCAGGGATATTTAATCGTTTTGCCCCGCAGATCTCGATATACGAAGCGTGAGCACAAACTGACTTCGTGCACAAAAGCGCCGCGAAATTAACGGAATTGGACCTCGAGGTTCCAATAGCTGCAAGAGGATAGAAGCATTTTAAAGGAACGCGAACGGTTTGTCATTTTTATTGCTTATGGAGACGTTCTATCCAAAAACTATTTGTTGGTAGCATATCCTTAAATCAGTAGTAATAATATTCAAATAGCTACTACGTTTTTTTTGCTTAAGTTGCTCAAATTTATCGATACAGGCTCGGTGACGCAGGACATTGTTATAGATTTTATGCAGGCTAGGCGGAGAACTATTGGACGGGGTTGGGTATACTAATGGGGTATATTAGAGTAGAGAGTAATAAATGGTCCGGGCCCAGGGTGTTGAGAAGAACCGTATGGTAGGGAGATAGTGCTGGTAGAATTCGATTATGGAATTTATTTATTCCTCGTCAAAAACTGTAGGGCGTAACTGTGCAGTTTTTCTTCGGACTTAGAACCCGTTCTAGCGGAACCAGAGCTGTAGAAAATCTGAGCACGAAATGCAGTTACTTTTACCGTCCAGATTCAAAGCTAGTAACCCTCTTAGCACTTGTTCAACGGAGCAAGACTACTACAGCACCTAGATAACCGGCTTGGCCGGATGTGGCCCCAAGGCCCGCAGATGCATCTGAAGATGGCCGGAAGCAGAAACTGGTGGTGGGGAGGAAAGACAAGAGGAGCACAAGCGCAGTAGAGGGCGGGGGCGGGGGGTAGGTAACAGCATTGGCGCGACGGCGGTAGCTACGGCGGTGTTTGTGCCGTTGAGGCGGAAACCGGAAAAGGACGAAAATGGAGAAGGAAATGTCGCCGGCAACCGAAAGCACTCTTAGAGTTGAAAGCGTAGGGTCTGACCGCCTTCGCGTGAAAACCATGCCTTCGCCCTTGCCCCGACTTTGCACGGCAGCGCTCCGCACCCCCCCCCTCCCCGCAAACCCTCCGCTCCATCCCCCCCACACCCCCCCTCCCTTGCACCACCCTCTCCCACCCCCCTCTTCCCATCCCGCTCCGCCCTACTCTCCCTTCATACTCCCACGCGCACAATACCGCTCTGTCCCTGCCCACATCCCACAAGCTCGCTCCGTCTCGGTCTCCCCGCCTTTCCCTCTGGCCCATCCCAGACCGTACCCCCGATATCATTCCAAGCCCCCCCCTCGCCACGCCATAAACCCGTGCCCACACCGCTGCGCGCTGCTCTTTCCGTTTAGGCCCTTGACACATCCCGCCCCACTCTCAACCTCTTGCGTCTCAATTCTTTCCACTGTTCTCCCTTCCTACCTCGCCCCTCTTCGTCTTTCTGTTGACCCGCCACACGTCTTGTGTCTCCTATTCTGCATCGCAACTTCCTCCATGGTGTGCGCTCCGCCCTCTCTGTCCTCGACATTGCCATTCCGTTCCGTCTTCCTGTTCCGTCCTCCTCCCGTTCCGTCCAACCCAGCACCGTCGCTCCTCATTCGTCCAATCTCTGCCATTAAGCCTCGTCCCGCCAAGTTTTCCGCCAGTCGCTTTCACCACCTTTGCCCCCACTCACTGCCTTCGACACCGTCCAACTCGTTCCTCGCATGCGTTGACTTGCTTCTTAGCCACCCCATGGCCCACCCCCGATCAGCCCCGCCCGCCACCCCTGTCCCCCGCTCCGCCCCGCCATGGCCCCCGCCTCGCTGCGGCTGATAATGGGACAAGTCCTCTGTTTCGATGCGTGAAACGAAGCAAGAGGTTTACGTCTCGCTCTTCCTTTGCGGCGGATCTCGATCGCTGGGCTTCCGGGGTGGGGGCAACGCCAACTGGAGGGGGCGAGGTGGGCGACGGCGGCGGAGGGAGCAGGTCCGACGACAACTTAAAGCGACCTAAAGTGGGCTGTCCACGCATGCGACCAAAACCATCAACAATGGACTTAGTGATCAAATTTCGTGCGTGTCTCAAGAATTCGAAGTATCGTCGGTGCTCAAATAAAGACACATATGGAAGATATGTACCTCTAATTCTTCTGGTCGACAGTTTATCCTGAGCGAATATGTTTATTTCACAGCCAAACACATTATTTCACATTATATTGAACTTTTCATTGCTGTTGTCTTTAAAACATTTTTACTGGTATAAATAAACGTTTTATTCATATTTATTCTCTTAAATGAAAAAAGTTGGGGAAGTGTCACTTTTCTTTGCAGTGACAATAGAAGTAACCAGTGGCCCAACAGCACATTCGTTCTTGTATTATTTTTAAACGCGCAATTTTCGAAAATTCAGAGTTCAACAGTAAGTAGACCCGGTCTTGTAAATGTCCCTTCTTCCATAAATGAAAATAATTTTGAGCGGTTATTTCATTATTATTGTTATTATTATCATCATAATCATAATCGAAAGTGCATCTTATCAATATGCAACACCGCCAGCAAGGTACGCCTAGTTCCCCTCCTCCTCCACCCCCCCCCCCGAGCAGCAATCTTCGCGGCGGCTCGTTCGATTGCATTAACAAGCGCCCGCGGCGCGCGGCAAACGTAATTAAGCAAGCAATGGAGCGCGCGCCGCCATTGTGCGGGCCGCTATCAGTTTATGACGCGCGGCACGAGAGCGCGAGGCTGGAACGCGCGGGCGGGCGTGGCGCCGGGCGGCAGGTGGTGGAGGTGGCTCGGGCTGACAGAGGGGAGGGCGGCGCTGGGAGCGAAAGAAGCTGCTGCTGGGTGGGGGTGGTGGGGGCGGGGCAAGAACGGAACCAAGGTGGAGGTGGGATTTCGGCGTGGCCTGGACTGAGGCAGGGTGTGGACGGGGCTGGGAGGGAAAGCAGCTGCGGGGCAAAGTAGAGATGTAGAGAGGAGTGGCAAGAACAGAACGCGATGTGAGGGTGGGGGCACGGGATTGTGGCAGCTGAAAAGGGGGCGGGGCTGCAGCGGATCAGAGTGAAGTGAGGTTAGGAATAGGGCGACGGGTTAGAAAATGTGCATGCCTGATTGAAAATGGGGGTTGAATGGGGATGGAACCGAGGCGTGGTAGGGCAAAAGCGAAACGAGTCAAATGCGGGAGGAATTGTACATAGAATTTTTCCCAAAATGGGTAAGCTCCGATCAAAATAGCCGAGCTTAACACCGTGCGAGGTTAAAACGGATCACTTAATTTTTTAGAGTACTACATAATGCTTGGACATTCTCAAAATGTTCTCAAAATTGGATCAAATCGTTTTCTTTTTTCTCTATTGGAGGACAACGGGTTTCTAAATTAGTCTGATTTTCCTGATATTTTATAAAATTTTGAAAATTGCAAATGTTTAACATTGTTTTGAATCTCTCCTATGCCTTCATTAATGAAGCTAGCTTTTAGTGAAACTCATTTCCTTGAAATAGCTCTTTAAATCAATTAAGGTAATGATTTTTTAAATATATGCAATTTTTGTATTATTTTGTGACAAATCAGGAAAGTTCCAGAAATAGAAAAAAGAAAATTGCACACATCTATTCATATGTTTTCTTCAAATATTTTGTATGGATAGTCGAATACACTTGGATCAATAGGACAGTTGCCATTGGAATTTTGATTGTTCAAAAATTAAGCATTAACCTTTTTATGAATCTCCTGAATGTTTGGTGAAGAGTTTTCCCAGAAATGGCTGAGAGATTAGTACAATGCAATTTACAATATGCTAATATTATATGCAACTCGAACAAAGAACTTCGGCTACTGTTGACAAGAACGTGGAAATGTCGAGTCTTCATAATAATTCAATATCTGGATCAAAGATTAACTTGCTAGCGGGATAACACCTATTGAAAATGGTAGTTTGTACATCAAATACTATAAAATCCTTTAGCTATCTACAGTTTTGTCTACGCGACGTAAAAGCACTATTCACATTTTGACATATTAGCAGCCAAACTTATTTCTTGGATGAAATATATTTTATTTTCCTGTTAATTTGTATTTGACTATCCGAAAAAATATTGCCCCTGTAAAACACAGATACCTGCATACAGTTGTTCTGCAAGGCGGCTGATTTTATACTATAAGCTTTTACATTTTTAACATAAAATTAAGTGCGTGTTGTAGAACAAATTGCTCAACAGTAGAACGACATTTCAAAAATTATTAAAAAAACAATTATATTCTTAAAGTATCAAAAGGAAATATATTTTTCCCAACAAATTCTTAGCATCAGTTATTGATTATAAAGTGTTATTTCGTTGAGACCAACTGTCTTTACTTAATTATTTAACTGTAGATGTTTATCTTTAATTGTTTCAATCAGTAGAATAGTCTCTCTTTAAAAATGTCTCTTTGTAGATATTTTTTTCTGAAGAGTCAACTATTGCAGCTGGACCTTTGATATTTCGTTAAAATACTTATATTCTTTACGTAAATTATTAGCTTCTTCAGTGCTCGAAAACAGGATTTTATAATTACATAAGCTACATAATTCACCATAGATTACACTGAGGCACGTGCTGTTTCGATCACTCAATTATACTTCACTTTTTCCAATGTTACAACAAAGAAAAAACAAGAGATTCACAGCGTTTTAACTTTGTCAAGAAGACACATAGGTTATAGTTGCTTGCCATATGTATTTCTTTATTATTTATTTACTTTATTTATTTTCAGACGTGTTGAGTTGATAACCAATCGAATGAGAAATCTCGCAGCCTAGCCAGCTCATTCACAATTTTATTTCATTTCTGACAATATATGTATCAATGTAATGAGATAAGAGAAGAACGCGTGCCTGATACATTCCTCTGCTCGATTGCTTGCAGTGCCCAGCCAGGAGGTGTGGGCGGTGCGAGGAATGGAAATCGACCTGCCTTGCAACGTGACACCTCCGGATGGCGACCATGTCAACGCCATCTTCTGGTACTTCGGCAGCAGCGGCGTTCCCATCTACAGGTGAGGCTTCCCTTGTGTAACTGATTCACTGTGGGGTTGAAAAGTACAGTGTGTTATAATATGAACGATGGTACAATGGCGAAATGAGACGCTGGGGAAATTGGAGTAATACCCCGAGAAAACCTGCAGAAAACGCAGATTCTCCGTGCGAAATACTCCATGGGTCGACCGCGATTTAAACATTCATTGTAAGAGCGGGAAAGGGACTAACTCATGGGGCGCCTGCTACTGATGGGTGCTATTGATAGAACAAAGGTAGATTGAGTGCCACGAAAATTCATGGAATCCTCAGAAATCCGTCGATACCGGGTATTGACTAATATTGAGTTCTACGGAAGTGTTGACAAGTGAACCGTCATGCTTAGAGGTGGAAATCAAGCATGCTGAGTATGTTACGATGTGCAAAATTACGTAATGCGCTGACAGTTACGTAAGTTAAATAAATACACTGGGCTCCCCGCCGGGAGTTTGCCCATGCCGGTGAAACCGCGGGGAGGAGGGGGGATAAGTCGGTGATGATTGAGGGCGGACCTAGTCTCTCAAGGTAGCGGTTGCGGATGCCTAAGCGCCGTTTACTCGAGGACAACTAGCTAACGGATAGTCGGCAGAGCAGCGACTGGCATCGTGTACATGCTTGGGGACACCACTGAAGACACTTGGTAAAACTGCGGACTGACAAGTCTTACTTGCCGGGGGAAGAAAAGATCACTGCAAGTTTTGACAGAGAATAGTAGACAGTAGTAGATGCTGTCTACCGTTTTTAGGTGTGTAGACTTTGCACACTATAAAAATGCAGGTTTGGAGACAGAGCAATAATGCATACTGAATAAAACATTTTCAATACCTCAACTGAGGTTTGTGATTCATTAAAAGCGACAAACAACAATGTGAGATTATGTCAACACGCATTAATCTTCTTTTCGGTGATAAGCAAGTATATCAAAATAATGAATCATTTATTAACTCCATATTATTATCCAATTTATAGCGCGCCAGGGGAGACTCTCCGCAGTGGCATCTTGCTGGTGAGAGTTCTTGCAACAGAAATGATGTTGCAGCTTGCGTTGCCGAGTTGCATCTTGAAAGAGTAAATTGAGTACTCTCCTCAATCATCATAGATGCTGCATAATAGATGCCCTTCGCTTGTTTCTTAGTGATCTGAATGCTACCAACATTAATGCAATTTTTAATTGGAGGCCCTGATACAACTCAGTGCGGAGAAACTTCCCTAGTGCACGTTATTATCATAATTGCACCAAAATTTGCAATCATACATGCTGTGTTTAACAGCACGTCTCGCCATCACGCGCGTCGCCATTTTTTTTCCCGCAGCAGAGAGAGACAGCGCACTATCGCGGAGGGCAACTTGCCTGTCCTCCTGCGATTCCACGACATCTATCCACGTTTCCAGTTATTTGATTGCTTGGTGACTGATTCCAAGTGCGGCAACTGCTATGATAATCAGTCCCGGAAGGATAGTGCATGCTTTTATCGCAGCAGGTGTCGGTGAACTTCCCTCACTGAATGGCGAGATTCTGTCCCGTCCTACAAGTTGGCTCGCCCACTTTTGGTTTTCCCACCAAATGGAGTACGCCCCAGGCGGGACCAACTCTAATCTCTCGACTGCTCTTCTAGTATTGTGGTAATGTAGTAGATTCATGGGTGAGGAAAGGACAAGGAAGAGGAAGGAAAGATCGCGTGCGGTCCACTTGTTGGGATACTACTCCGGTATTCGTCTGGTGTTGATTGGAGGAACCACCGATAAGAGAAGCCAAACTCTTGAATTGTCCTCCAGAGGCTGAACCCGATTTAGCTATCTAGCCAGCGTCGAAACCCTGCCACCGTCGGGACTCAAACCCTATGATCTCCCAGCCATAACATCAATTGCCTGCAGTAACATGAATTGATATCCTGAGCCACCTCAGTCAGTTCTTTGAAGGCAGTCAACAAGACGGCGGTTTTCTTCCAGGCTGTCGCCCAGCCAGCCGTCCTCGTGTAACCGATGCTTTACGGGCGGAGGCAGGCAGCAGGCGGCGCGAGAAGGGCCAGTGGGCAGCGGCGTCGAGTGTCGCGCGTGCGGCGGCTGAAGCGGCGGTGGCGGCGCGCGTGACTTCACGCGCTGCGGGGGGGGGGTGACGTGTCGACACGACGCACGCATTACTCGCGCGATGACGGTTTGCTGTTCACGTGATTACCGCTTTGACGGGCCGCTTAGGTCCTCGCCGCGCGCCGCTCCGAAATTTAGGGCTCATCGGAGGACGACTGTCACGCCGGCAGCTCGCGGCGCTGTCATCGCCGAAACAATCGAAAGCTGCTGATTGGCGCGCGGCGCCTCTGCGGTTCCCACGCCGCCCCGCTGCCGTCCCCGCTGTCCCGCCGTTCCCTCTCCCCACCGTCACTAATTCTTCCCTTCTTCCGTCGTACTGTTACTAACACCCTGCAACCCTCCGCTTTCACCACAGACCCGTGCTTGAGGTCACATTTACGCAGCCCTATTCCCGCAGCTCTGTTCTCGCAACTCTGTCTCCTGAGCTCTGACCCTCAGCCAAGTCCTCGCAGCTTTAGCCCGGAGCTCCGCGCCGCAGTTCGGACCCCGTAGCACTACTCCCGCAGACGTCTCTAGCATACCAGTCCCCAAAGTGCCCGTCCCGTTGTCTCAACCCCGCTACATATTGTGACGTCGTGGATACTCACAGCGAACATATACATGGGCTTTCATTTAACAAATATTTACAAACACTACAAATATTTACAACGAATTTAAACTTTACACCCTAGCTCTGATAGACCTCTGATCGCGGGAGCGATCCCAACCCGATTCGTGGCATGCAACCACTTCTCACCTCGTAGCACGCACACAGCATCCCTCCCACAACTTTGTGGTGAATTCTAGCCCAAATTTCGGTATAGTTATTAAAGGTTCAGATGTTTACAATCAATAACTTTAATAAATTTAGAGGAGCTGACCCACATTTTGCAAAAAGTAGTTTGACCTTAGAATGAAAACTGACCGAATAGCGTATTAAAATCCGTAACGAAGTAACCCCACTTTACGGTATTTAAAAAACCTTGTTCTACATTTTGAGGATTACCCCCGTGATCACAAGCGCAACAGTACTCAAACCTATTGCATTCCAGATTTGACCATGCACTTCACTAAAAGAAGCAATCTTTTCAATCCATGCATAATATTTCATGACCATGAAAGAACACGCTTCAGGAACCAGATTGTTTAGCTTGACACGAATTGGACTCACTACAAGAAAGAAGTTACAAACGACCTAGACCGCCGTCGTTTTTGCCACAGCCATCGCAGTTGTCGGAGACTGCCTTCGGCTCTTCCGGTCTGAGGCAGTTGAAAAGAACGTTGATGAATGAAATCACAATCACAATAACCGACGATGTAACGTAACACGGAACAAAGATATTTTGTTCTTTTATGTTGAAGAGATTCGTGGCGTTTTGTTGTCAAGTTGTAACACGCAAAGAAACAATCACTAGATAGCCTTCAGAGAATACCTGAGACAGCAGCACTTTCACTTTCATTCAACTCCCTTTGATTATCCTCCTCGCTGTTCGAAATTTGCACACGCGCTTTGAATACTTTTATCGTGCAATTTTCTTTCCTGATGAATCACGTTCTATTAATAGACCTCCAACCAACTTGTTAGTAAAATAAACAAAAAGTTAATGTAACATTCCCATTCACATATTGCTTTGGAATAATGCAATAGAAACTGTTGAATTTTCCAATGGTTTTCACACAAAATTGTTTTCAAGAAAGTGGCAAGCTCACTGTTAAAAAAAAAACAACAACCAACAACAACAACTTGCATCGCTCTACATAGAATGTATTACTTTAAACAAAAACAGTCTTCACGAATACAGCAAATACATATAGTATACTTACATACTTACATTCACACATACATACATGCAACAATCTTTACATGCCAAGGACGTAAAACAATTATTGATTCATAAAGCAACATTTTAATATTAAATATTTAATGGCGGGCGGTCTCTTTCTTGGTGTCTTGGCGTCTTGCTGTAGCATGACGTCAACGGTCATGTGACGCACTAAATATGGGAAGCAGTGACGGACTGAATGTGAGAATTCAGTCAGTACGTGCAATAACGCTTACCAGTATTGGAATTTTTATTCATTTTGTTTATTTTCACTGTCTTCCCGGGTATATTGTCGCGGGAGGGTGACAGTTTTCTTTCAAAAGACGGCGTAACGGGTAAACGTATTTTAAACGTGTAAGAGATATAATGAATTTACTTCCGATTACATTAATTGAGAATGTGTAAAGTTTTAATCGAACAGTTTAGTGATGATTGTGGAAAATGTCGAAATTCAAACGGTTTCGTCTACATAACTATATCGGAAAAAGTTACATTTCTTACTTCGAAATGTCTCTTACAAAATTGGGGGAATTTTGTGACATTGCAATAGGTGATGTACTAATATACTCTTCTAATTATATTTATTAATATCAAACTTAGATATATTATGTGAAAGACATTGAACTTTTTTCAGTTATTCAATCATTTAAATACGAATTAGATTCTTGTAGCTTTGACTTTTTAAAAAAATCGCCATGTTCGGCGCACGATTACAATACTTTCTCTTCTCATGAATTAAGATCTAAAATGTAAAGGAAACAAATACATAACTTAAAGTTTAAAACAATACACTTAATTTAGAAGATTTTACTTCACGTAATGGTTTTTACAATAAATTGTCTGGGTTCTCATTTATTTTTCATATTTACTACGCACTTTGATAGGCGAGAGGTTACTATTATTCGCAAAATAATTTTTACTCTCTACACGCTCGAAACCGACTTTCTAAAAGCGTTCACACATGTGAACGTCTCGACGAGGTCGACACAAAGTCTCGAAGAGGTCGTCTGGCACACATGGTTTAACAAATATATGCATTCTCTTCCTTCCTCTTCTCTATTCGCCGAGAGAATGATGTGAATGCAAGCAAA